AGGGAACACAGTAAATATGAAGGCACTTGTGAATGACTATTTCCACTAAAAATTGCACAAGTGTCTCAATCAAGCCTATTAATTTTGACTTCAGATGTTAAATAAATGATCCTATGAAAAGGGAATCATTCTGCATTGAGAAAGTTGAGAAAGTAAATCGTGAAATTACTTTATCAGTGCTTTACAAAAAAGTACAAAACTATTTACTTTAAGTATATTAAAACATTCAGAAACTCATAATCAAATCACAGCTGTTGCAACTGCATTTTATTTTAAATAACTGCCTTTTGAAATAAAACAAATATTACTGTGAGACTGTTATTAAAAGTACCACCCAGTAAAATCTAGAAAACTGTGGAGCTATTATTTATTTTGGGACTGAGGCAGGAATGAGAAATACATTAGGAAACCTTCTTATGTTTTATGTGCAATAAATCTATAGCCACATATCTATTTCTAGAAATTATCCAGAACATCTGATTAAAACATAAAACAAATTTCCCAAAGTTTAACCACTTTCACCAGAAAAACGTAAGGCTCTCGTCTTCTAAAACTTACCAGGAACCTATTCATAATTGTGGAAAAAAATCAATTTCTAAATACAAAATATTTTAAAAACCTAGCCAGAGAGAAAAGTTTTGATGGTCTACGTTTTAAAATAGAAACAATGTGATTTTAAAGTCTTTAAACAGATTATGACAGTGTTAACTGATCAGAATGATTTTGAGTTAGTGACACTGTGACTTCGACTACAGGCTGGTCTATACTTCTACCCCAAGATATGGAATTAGCATTGCCTAATATTAAAACAGAATACTTTCGATAGTGTAATAATTTTTAGAAATTTAAAATTACAATTCTGATTTTAAAGTATTAATAAACTTCTATTATTCTACAACTTTTAAAAATTAAGCAACAGAAGTAAACTTTAAATATTAAAGTGCATGTCAAAATACATACATCTGCAGTAATGTCATTGAATTTGGTGATAAAGGCATGTTTTACAATATCCACGGCAATTTCTGATGCAATTACCATACAGACATCTGGAAACAACACCCAGAGATGATCTATAAATAGAAAAGAGAAAAACAATGAAATATCTTAATATGAACAGAATCCATATCATAGGCTACCAGAGAAATATGAAATCTCTAGAACAAAACTGTATTTTCAGTAAATGATGAACTAGTATTCAATTATAACCTTTATCAAAAGAGCTATACTGTATCAAGTTAAAGGATACTTCATTCAACAAATATTTGTTCAGGCCTGGCACAGTGGCTCACGCCTGTAATCCCAGCATGTTGGATCACCTGAGGTCAGGAGTTTGAGACCAGCCTGGCCAATGTGGCAAAACCCCGTCTCTACTAAAAATACAAAAATTAGCCAGGAGTAGTGGTGTGCACCTGTAGTCCTGCCTACTTGGGAGGCTGAGGTAGAAGAATTGCTTGGAACCGGGAGGTGGAGGTTGCAGAGAGTTGAGGTGGCGCTACTGCGCTCCAGCCTGGGCGACAGAGCAAGAACAACAAAAACCCAAATATTTATTCATTACTTTCTAAGTGCCAAGAACTGCTTTACATGCGGGCTCTGGGGGTTTAGCAGAGAGCCTCTGCCTTTACGAAGCCTACGTGCTGACATGCTGATGGGATGACTAGATTAAGCAGGTTCCTTAGAAAATCCTTTAATTCCAGAGTTGCCTCAACGTGACAGTAAATAGCTAGAAGAGATGTGTTGTAGTCTTTGCAGATGAGCAATCTTCTCCTTCTTCGATCACTACAACTTAAAGATATTGATCAATCCTTTGTTTCACTGTCATGCAGATGTTAACCTGATAAATTTGCTCACCATTATCACATTTAAATGTCTATTCAAGTAAGACCTAGTGTTAGATAGATAAATAGGGTAACTGTAGTTTGCAATAACCTACTGTGCATTTCAAAATAGGTAGAAGAAAAGGATTTCACTGGTTCTAACAAAAAGACAAATATTTGAGATAATGGATATCCCAAGTACACTGATTTGATCTTCACAAAGTATACGAATACATTAAATTATCACTTGCACACCCAAACTATGAAAATTACGCATCAATTAAAAAAAATTTTTAATGCCAATTCAGTATCAGGTACCTGATAAAACACACCCACAGACAACCTGCTAAGAACTTGGAAAAGAATGTAAGAGTGGGATACAGCAAGAAAAAGATAGGGAGAAACACTGACAAGGACCCATAGCAACTCAAGACCCAGGTAGCCGGAGGATGGGATGGAGACCACACAGCTGGGCTATCCTGGCTGACAGTGTAGGCAGCTTCTGTGAGTCTGGCATTACGTCAAGTTTTGGAAATCAAGGGACCTCTTTCTCTGATAAGCTCTGCTACTAAGTGCTATATGACCTTGGGCAAGTTTTTTTTTGAATCAACATCACTGGCAAAGGGCAAGTTTCTTAATTAGCTAAATTCCAGCTTCCTCAACCACAAGGTAAGGATAGTAAGTGTCTACACTTAATTATTATGAGAACTAAACGAGATAATGGTGCACAGCAATATTCCTAGCATACAAAATGGCTAGTGCTGTTTTTATATTCCTCATGACCCTGAGAACTTAGAGCAACGTTCCATAAATGGCACTTTGTTGGTTTTTTTTTAAAAGAAATTTTAATAAACCTAAAAAAAAGAGTGAAAATGGTGAATTCATCAATAAAAGCAAGTGTTCCTTTTATCATATTATCTGCCATAGCAGTAATAAAGGAGGCAAGATAATTTATTAAAAGTCACAGTATAAATGAGAATGACTTCAAATATCCAGCTGTCTAGGAGGCATAAAGACTGTTTGTCTTTTGTTTTAACCACTCAGCTTTGGGAATTGCTGATCCTACGTGTACTCTACTGGAACCAGTGACACATACCCACTCTGTCCTTCATGGACACCCTGTTAGGTGACTTAGTTATAAAGAAATATACCACCATTCACTGAAAAAAATCTGGGTACTCAATGAATCTAGCTGTGTGTGTGGAGGAAGAGGCTTTTCCACCACAAGCCAGGTAGCCTACCCTAGCTGTTGTCAGATATCATTTAATCTTATGGTTTCTCTACGAAAAAAACTTCTGAAAATGTATCTCCAAGAGCATATCTCTCATTTTATATGTTTCTGATTTTTCAGTTACTTGAAAATTACCAATGAATTAAAATAAATTAGTAAGTTAATAAATGCCTATAACATATATAATATTGGGAGTAATAAATGAAATCTAAAACATGGTCTCATCCTTTAAGAATGAGATTCCAACAAAAATGTCAGATATTCAAACAAAAACTCTAAATTACTTGAGATACCTGAGAAATTGATCATTTCCCACTTAGCTCACTTCAGCATTATAATTACCCATTTCCCCTTAATTAGCCTGTAAGTCCTACAAATGTCTTAGTATTTTCTACATTTGCCACAGTGCCTGCCCTCGTGCCTAGAAACTAGCATATGCTCAGTGAATGTCTGCTAACTGAATGGATAATGAAAATTCATGGAATGTTGACAATTTCCTGTCAGCCTGAATTTAGAGATGCACCTAAGTTGCAAAACTTCCACCTTACTTTATATTTAATTTATCCCTACTTAAAATGCTAATCAATGGGTAAAAGATAAATGTTAGGGAAGAGCAAAGGTTCTTCTGGTCAACCCCTAAAATGAAAATGATCTTTCTGGATTTAGGTAACTAAAGCACACTACAGTTAAAAATAGAGAGGCTCAGAACTGCCGGGTGTAACAGGGTGCACTCACCTACTGAGTATACAGCTCCAGAGACACGGAGGGGTTTATAGAAAATGACAGCATCCCACCACACCACAGAAAACATACCCAATCCATTCTACTGAAACAGGTACTGTCATGTGTCGCTCAGCAACAGGGACGCATTCTAAGAAATGTGTTTTTAGTCAATTTTGTCATTGTGTGAACATCATAGAGGGTACTTACACAAACTTAGATGGTATAATCACACACCCAGACTATATGGTATAACCTACTGCTCCTAGGCTACAAACCTGTACCGCACATTATTATTCTGAATATTGCAGGCAACCGTGACACAATGGTAAGTGTATCCAAACATGTCTAAACACAGAAAAGCACACTAGGAGACTAGGTGACAGGAATTTTTCACGTCCATTAGAAACTATGGGATCACCATTGTATATGTGGTCTATTGTTGACTGAAATGTCATTATGTGACAGATGATTGTTTCTCCAACACCTAAACAGTAAAACAGCCAAAGTCTTTTGAAGCTTTCTGCAATATTCATTTTATTCCGTGTAAAAGAATGATTTTGGCTTAGAAGGAAAATTATAAGACATTGTTTTGTTAAGAGTGAGTTACCTGGATTCCAAGAAAACTGTTCCATGTTTCTTAGACACACTATTAGTAAAAGCACATAATTTGTGAATCGTTCCTTAATATCTAAAAGAAAAAAAAATCAACATATAAGTACTGTAGTGTATATAAACAACACAATAAAGTACATATAGGAAACAATTCTTTTAGCCAGAACATGATGAAATTATTAGACAACGTATAAATGTCCATAAATATACAACTTTATATATATATATGTGTGTATATATATGTGTGCATATATATATAGGTTGGTGTTATCTTGGTAAGTCACTGACTTCTTTTGCCAACATAATTCTAGTATGGAAATTCCAGTTTTCTATAAACTTCAAGAAGTATTCAAACCATCAAACTGCTCAGACTGGGTCATTAGATTCCTCCAATGATCTTTGGGGACATATGACAACTGTTTCCATTTTACAGAAGAAAAAATAGAAGAAAAGAGTAAAATGAAAGACTTTGGGTAATAAAATTCCTGTATAAAATCCCAGACTACTTGCAATCTGGTGAATAGTACACAATTACTGAACTTATGAGTCCTTTAGCTGAGAGAATCCTGCTATTACAATAGCATTTCTTGGGGTGTAGGTAAAACTTGAGGGAAAATAACCCCAAATTGGGCTTCATAATATTTACCATAAACTAATAACTATGTGCTGAGATTAGGTGGTATGAATTTAATAAAATCAAATCACTGAATTATTGCTAAAGGCCAGTGTCCACATTTCACTTTTTAAGCTGTTAACTTTCTCATAGTCTAAGATACTATGTAATCAAGAAATGGGATGAAATACATTTGTCTGCAGTTAAGAGTGGCACACCCATGTATGTGTGTCTGTGTAACAGTGGGGGCTGTGACTAGAAACAATCACCCATATAACAACCCAACTCGAAAGTTTTTTTACAGTCTGTTGTCATTTCCCTACTTTCCCAATGTCTCAGTAATCGCAAGCCTCATCCATATCATTCAGCCATGGCACGCTTCCTATAAGTGCTCTGAATTTCAATTTCATCCTGATGTAATTCACAGGACTGTCTTTGCTTCTCTTTTTTTACTTCCACCTTTCCTCACTATTCTCTAGCAATGTGATTAAAAACTTTTATTCCACAGCAAAACCTCCTTCTCTATAAGCGAGTTGGCCTTTACTCTCTGTACCTTCCCTACATCCTTAAGCTCTTCCAGTCAGTTGCTGGTACCTTCTTTTTCAGGGTAGCTCAGCTCCTTATTAGTGATGGGTCTGAGCTGTGCCTTCGCTCCCTCAAAGCCCAGTGGGCACTACTTGCTTCCTACTTCCAAAGCTGAAGCACCATTCATTATGCAGTACCGCATTTTGGAGTGTGAGCTCAGGGCACAGTAAGTCTCAAGGTACCAAGCACTGAGATGCCTCCTTAGGAGGCAGGGCACCTCCGGAGCAAGTCCACGCGGAGTTTTCAGGCGCACCTGTTTTGATTCGTTCTAGATCACATGTTTAATTTATTCTGTGACGTCAAAAGAGGATACAGGTTAAAGGAAACTAAGAAAAGTCTGCCCTAGAATAAGTTCCATCAAAGTCTGACACAAAATATATTCTTTGTTACTATAGCTAACTGTGGATCTTAATTCGTGGGGTTAAATTTGCCAATGTATCTTTAATTGGAATTCTGTAGAATTATTCACCAAGCTGTACCTATATGTGTGCTAAGTCCTTTCTAATTTCCATAAATGAATTTAACAATGAAACGTATTTATTTTTGATACTTCCCAAACATGAATATGTAATACAGACTTGTTTCATTACAGAATTATATGAAAATAAATGACCTTGAGAAATTTAAAACACTATTTGAAATGAGCCAAAGTAACTTTTCTAAACTCTAATATAACAAAGCGAAACTACTGTATAATTAATCTAACTGTATTTGATTTTTGGGCACATGGCAGCTGCAAGTATAGAGAAAATCTGCAATAATTTCATTTCTAAGGGTACTGATGAAAGGGGAAAAACCTATCTCATTAAACGTATATTTAAGGCAAAACAGATTTTATTTTTTATTTTTTATTTTTAATGATTTCTTATTTTTTTGAGACAAGAGTCTTGCTTTGTCTCCCAGGCTGGAGTGCAGTGGCATGATCTCGGCTCACTGCAGCCTCTACCTCCCGGGTTCAAGCGATTCTTCTACCTCAGCCTCCGGAGTAGCTGGGATTACAGGCATGCGCCACCATGCCTGGCTAATTTTTGTATTTTTAGTAGACAGGGTTCCACCGTGTTGGCCAGGCTGGTCTCCAGTTCCTGATCTCAGGTGATCCGCCCGCCTTGGCCTCCCAAAGTACTGGGATTACAGGTGTGAGCCACTGTGCCCAGCCCAAAACAAATTTTAGAAAAGCAGACTATTCCAAAAAAAAAGCAGACTATTCCAAAAAAAGAGATTAATAAAAATGGATAAATTTGGTAAATAAATGCAATTTTATAAGATGAAGTATGTGAAGGATGGCAAGCTTAAATATTAAAAAGTGACACCATAAAAATTAACTGTATCTTTATTTGATAAGATAAAGATATAAAACTATATCTAACTATAAAGATGAGGCTGTTATGTGAAGATTTTTTTGAAAGTTTTATTCTTACACTTTCACAACTTTTACATTTAAATGTTTTACATAGACATTATAAAATCAAGATTTGACTTTTAAAATTTGAGTTAAAAAATACCCAAATTTTAAGTGTCTCCAAAGAAGATATAAAAAGAAATAAAATTTCTATGAGAATAACAGAGTCTGATACTGATAATCTAACATATATTAGATAAATAATGCAATCAGCAACATATTTATACCATATCTCATCTTCAGAATAGTCAGGGTTCGGATTAGAACTGAACTCTTACATTGATTAAAAATTAAAATTTCTAAGAATGTTTTCTCCTAACCTTTATCGAGAAGCTTAAAAACACTGGTATTAATGCTTTTAAATATGTCTGATACTCAGATTTTTCCTTGCTATATTACCACTAACAGGGATATACTTTAACATATTTGCAGTCACATTTTAAATATAAAATGAGTGACTATTTCCAATAAACATCCATATTTATTGCAGCTTTGCAGGCTTCTAAGAGTGTTAAGTGAGCTATAAGCTTACTCCAGACAACCTAACTTCTGAAGGACCTTTCCAAATGCACAGTTCACATTACCAATGGGTAAAAATCTACCTAAAATTCTTCTTCTCAAGAATGCAAACCAGAAAGACTGGGGTTCCACATTCAGCTGATGCTTATGATAAAATGAAGTGAAGAAAAGGAGAAGTTGTTAAAAACCTGGTTTTATTAACTAAACTACTTTTCACATGTCCTCAGGCAATTCCTCCAAAGAAAATATATGGTGAGCTACCACTGAAGGGGGTAAAGTTACTCTCAGATTTCTCCATGAAGTCTTCTATATTAAACCAGCATGAAGGACTAAAACTTACACTATGTATCTGGCAAGTCAACTTCTGATGGAGAAAAAATTCATAGGAAAATTCATAAGAAAAAAATAGCCAACATGAGTATCCCTGCTGACTGGCTCTCATTAAGTAACTACTACTGAAGCATATGAAAGGCAACATATTCATATCAAGAGCAAAAAGCACCTCTTGGTGACTCCTGATCTTTCCATTTTAATAGCTGAATGTTACATGTAATGTTAGCAAGATTGCCTAGAATTTTTTTTTCTTAAGTTTTTTTTTTTTTTTTTGGAGACGGAGTCTCGCTCTGTCACCCAGGTTGGAGTGCATTGGCGCAGTCTCGGCTTACTGCAAGCTCTGCCTCCTGGGTTCAGGCCATTCTCCTGCCTTAGCCTCCCGAGCAGCTGGGACTACAGCACCCGCCACCACGCCCAGCTAATTTTTTTTTTTGTATTTTTAGTAGAGATGGGATTTCACCGTGTTAGGCAGATGGTCTCGATCTCCTGATCTCATGATCTGCCTGCCTTGGCCTTCCAAAGTGCTGGGATTACAGGTGTGAGCCACTGTGCCCGGCCCAGGTAAAGTTAATTTCTTACAAAACTCTTAAAGGGTACAATGCAGACCACCTTGCATTGTAACACGAGCTACTTTGCTTACAGCAAAAGGTAATTTTTTTTTGGTGCTAAGTAGTAATCATTTTAAGCCAAAATAAAGTCCAAATTTCTTGTAAACTGATATGCATACCTGAT